GGAACAAAATCCAGAGTGAAATTCAAATGAATCCTTAATGCAAATGTGTTTTTAATTCAAAGGGATGTCTTGCTATCTGATGTGGTCCATGCACATGAAAAGAAAATGAAAGCCTTGCAGAAATAAGAGATTGACCTGAGTATGTCTGCAAGGATCCTGCTAAGCTCCATGATAGAGGCAGGATCCTCCATGACAAAAAGTAAATTTATTTTATGAAGAGTTTGGCTGATCCAGGGACTGACAAATCTAGGTAGGGACTGCGTTGCTAGTTTTTTGTGAAGTACACCTCAAAGTGATGAAGGAGAGAATGTAGTCTACTTCTCAGAAGACTTACAGGTTGGTGTGAGCCCCCTTTGGTTGGCCTTGTTACTGATGTCCAGGCTGGATGGGAAGAACTTGTTTCAGGGCCATAACTAGGAAAACCACCTTATCAGCCAGTCTATCATCTTTACTAGTCACATGTCCAAATTTCTCTTATGTGGATTCTATAGAGTGTTAAGGACTTGCTAGAGGCTATCAACTGGATAGGATATATACTAACACTTCATATATACAGTTCATGGAAAGTTATAAAAGCCTCAAAGAAAGCTGCAACAACCAGGAAAAAGCTTTGCATAGCAGAGGCAATAATCCCCTGTACAAACCTGTAGCACTGCATTTGCTTAACACTACACGCAGAAATCAGAGAGGAGGGAATAGAGAGACTTCAGAAGGAATTGCCTGATCTGGATAGATGTTGGGCTGACAGACGCGTGCTGGCTTGGTATTCAGATCTGGGGGTAACATCCAGAAGCCATGGGTGTTACTGTGGGTTCTGAACCTCCAACCTTTTTGTCATGGACATATTGGAAGTACCATAGATAAGAAAGGTAATGTAGCCAAGATATTGAGTTGCTTTGTTTCTTTATATCCTTTTATTTCTGGCTTTGTCCCTCAAAGTCAGTCCTGCATTGTTGAAAAAAACTTTGTCCTTCACCTCATCTGGTGTTAGAGGTGAGAGTGGAGAAAATTGACTGAGATGGGGTACCAAATCTTTTCAGTTGTGGCATAATCAAATAAAGCAGGCAGTGTGAGCAGCCTGAGAAACATACCAATCTAAACATATTTTGGGGACCAGCACCTGGGAAATTATTGTTAATGTCAGCATCCCTATTTTATCCCCCATTTTTTTTTTTTTTCCTTAAAAGCAGAGGATAGAATGACAGGCACAGCTCTCAGGAATAATATATTATAATGGCTCCTTGGGAGACACTTTGTGTCAGTATTGCTCTGACTCTCCTGAGAGGCTAGTTCTGCCCTGGCACTGCACTGATTAAGGAAGAGAAAAACAACTCCGTGAAAGCCAGCTCTTCCCCTCAAAATCCCAGGTGCAGCAAGTCCCACTCCGCCTTTGATCTTTTTCTCTGTTTGGTAGTATTTTCTCCAATGTACCTCAGGGCTGTGATCGCTGGACGTTCTAAAGAGGAAATCAATGGGCATAGATTTACAATTCTTCAACGTAAGTTTTTAGAACTGAATTACATTTCAGTGAAATTCATCCTCTGTAGGGAGTCAACAAGAAGCAAGTTTGGCCTATTAGTGTGACCCACAGTTCCCACTGAAGTCAGGGAGAGTCTGGGAATAGAAAGAATAAAGTGTCTGTAACCAATGGGTCTAGTGATATTTCTATAATAAGAACCAGAAGGATTAAATGTAGGTCCAAATTGAAATGAGAACATTTGGGGTACTAGATGGCAACTGCAATAGTCAGTGTAAACCCAGCTGAGTTTCCCCAGGGAATAATTTGACTTTCTATTTTTACATTCATATATAGAGGTAGAAAAAGAAAAGAATCAAATTAGTTGAAGAAAATGAAGACATTATCCAAAGGGATAATTGTTTGTGCTCTACCTCCAGCACAGGGGAACAGCACGTGGGAAGGACTGAAGAGCTGCACTCGATACTTTTGTCAATTCCCTCATCTGCTTTTAACAGTGTGAAATGCTAATTTGATTGTGCAGGTGGCGAAAGTTATGGCTAGAAGGATGCAGGGCCAAATCCTCACCATGATGCGTGGCAACCCCAGGGCCAGGTACACTTGTGCGGCTTGCCGTGCTTCTGCTTACACTCGAGCCCCACAGAGATCCCCTTCTCCTCCTTCCTGCTGGAGCTGAGAGCCCAAACAGGAGCAGGGATATCAGATGGCAGCACAGAGCCCTGTGCCTGGGGGATCCCTTGGCAGCCTCAAAATATAATAACGTAACTAGCATTCCAGCCGAGGTGCAAGAGAAATCAGCCTAAGAAAGGATCAGTTCTTGCTCCAGTTTCCCATAGCCACGCAGGGACAGCAGTAGGGGTACTCAGACTGCAGCTATAGCACTTGGGAAGTGCTGTCTTTAGGACACTCCCTGGGATTTACTCAACTGGAGGTGGCCAAGTCCTGGCTCTCCCTTCCCACCTTCGGGAGTATGAGTAGGAACTTGCAGTAACAGAATGTATTAAATCCATTAAAATGGCATAATAGGCTATTCCTGACCAAAAGGGGCACAATAAGGCCTGCTGTGTCTCTGAAGATGTTTTATAAAGGACAGAATCACGACGAGTTTGTCAGAAGGCTGCTTATGATGATCGAGCTCTGGTCTGCAGCCAGGAGTTGCAGCGCAGGATGCTGCCTGTGGGTTCTTGCAAAAGGCAGACCAGACGATCACCCTTTGAATTCAGCGTGCCCAGTCAAGAGTTGCTTAATTGTAAAAATGAGGGCTTAAAATAAAATTAAACTTTAGGGTCAAGTCTAGTCCGCCTCTGAACAAAAGGACAACAAAGCACTCCCAGAAGGGAGCAGTGCTCTGCAACAATATCCCATGCTTTATGCTCTCCAGTCTTTATTTTCCCATTTGAAAAGGATAGCCAATTGGAAAGCTGAGGTTGCAAGCAAGTAACAGTAGGATTGTATAGCCATCCAAAATATCAGTGGCTTAATTAGAGCTTAAATTTTCTGGGCCTCATGGAACTTCAAGTCTATCCTGAAAAATGTAAGGTGAATAAACTTGGGTAGGATATTCATGGTGATGTCAGTAATTCATGATAATGTTGGTGTAGAACCACACCTGCAAAGGCTTGTAGGGTGAATATACTGCCCCTCTGACAGGGTTTGATGGGCAGCAGCAAAGTCTGGGTTCAAATTTAATGCTGCTTGGAGTCCCCACCCAGAAACCTGCGAAAATTTTATGCTAAACTTTCTGGTGCTCAAGGAGCTAATTTTCCCCAACTGCAAGTATGAATCACACAGCTAAAAATTTTTCACTGAAGGGAGAAAAGTAAGAAGGTAGATAAGGAAGGTAATAATAACTAATTCTTAAAGTGCAATTATACCAATAATCATTTACATCTCCCCTGCTGGAAGGAAAGCAAATGTTTGCTTTCCCACTTCTGCAGTGACCTGCCCTAAGTTTAAGTCTTGCTAGACAGCAAGGCCTGACTTAAGCAAAGGTATCTGTTGGTGCATATTGGGGTGCCTCTGCCTGCAAGCCGGTCCCGTTGGCCATGCCTGGCACCTCTCCTCTCCCTCTGCTGTGTGCTGGCTGCTTTCCATAGCCGGCCCTCGGGCCACTCGCTCTCTTTGCCCCTCCAGCACCCTGCTTTGGCTAATTCCCACAGCTCGGACTCGGTGCCATTATTTTGGGTTCTGGAAACAACTGTTTGTGCAGCACCATAAATTCAGGGGAAACTGAATTTTAGCAGCTGTTATCTTGCAAGAAAATTTTGAACCTAGTCTCATCTTGCCCTTTTTGGGCTCTAATGTCTGCATCCCAGTCCTGGAGTTACGGTGATCAGCCAGGCACAGCGTTAGCTGGCCTGCGCTTCTGTACGCTATAGATGTTCCTCACCTTTCTCTATCTAATGAATACAATTTCCTTTTTAACAGAAATGCTTCACAAACATGGTGACACAGCACAGAATAAACATGTTTCAAGCTCTCCCATGGCTCTTTGTCAATTATTCCCTCTTTGCTCCACCAGTAGTCAACCTAGTGTTCCTTCTTGTTTGAGATCCAACCCCTTCTTGAATTTTGAGGGGATCTATTAAAGGTTTTGCGTTAATTTCAGGCCTTATCCAGGATTACAAATGTATCTCCGAACTTTTTAGAACAGCAATAAACCTGGTGCTCCGTTGCAAAAGTAAGTGAAGCTTTCTGAAGCAACTGTCCTATTCTTAGAAATATAAAACGAAAAAATCTTATTCCTCCACACTGTGAAACCCTGTGGGGGAGAAAACAATCCTAGCCATGCTCTTTTGAGTTTTCAGATCTCTTAATTCTTGAAAGCATTTATAAAAGAGCTAGAAATTTACTTTTCCTAATGGCAGATTAATGCGTCTTTAAATTGGGCATTGAGGATGGGAAATATTCAAGAGACTTAGTATTACTAATGGTTATCTCTGACCATAATCATTTAGGATATAGTAATTTACATTAATTACTATGAGGATTTAAAGTCCCAGCAGTAAAAGGCTGGGACATGTTCTCATGCTGTAATTAATACAAGGCTTACTCTGTTAAGAACATGGCAGAAGCTACATCACTGTTGTAATAGGTGAGTTTGCAAACACATACACATAGAACATAAACATCTATAAACAGAATGACAAGTTTGCATAAATTCACACCTCATATTGCCCAGAGAAGCAAATGCTTGGCAGTTTTATAACACACCTTGGATCTGGTGGGTGGCTGATTCTGGGAGAGACTAAAGACTTTTCCCTTGCATTGGTACAGAAACTGGTATTAAATGCAAGCTACTTTCTGGATGTTGTTGAATCATGCAAATTTTTAAAGAAAAAACACCATATAGTGAGAGCAATCTGAACTGCTGTGTTTGTGTTGTAAAGTTCGTGTATTACATAGAAAGATTTTAGGGTTTGTTCATCTTTTAAGGAGGCTGCCATCTGCAATTCGTTTTCTGGCAGGAAAATCCTTCAGAGTTCATGAAATAACTTTGCTGTGTATTTTTGCTGTATTTCAGAACAGATAACAATAGCCTTCACAGTGTCCATGGTGGTTGGACTGGTGATTGGAGGGATCATCTGGGCATTGTTCACCTGCTTGTCCCGTCGCAGAGCTAGCGCCCACATTTCCCAGGGGAGCTCCTCAGCCTTCAGCCGTCGCTCCAGACCCTCCTCCCATGGCCACACTACCGGCAGGACTGGATTTTACCGCAACAGCAGCTGCGAACGTCGGAGCAACCTCAGCTTGGCCAGCCTCACCTTCCAGCGGCAAGCCTCCTTGGAGCAAGCCAAATCTTTCCCCAGGAAGTCAAGCTTCCGCGCATCCACCTTCCACCCTTTCCTGCAGTGTCCTCCCCTCCCTGTGGAGACGAACAGTCAGCTGATCACCCTCACTCCCACAAATACCACCACAACCCTTGTGGGAAGCACCACCAACAGCTTAAGTCGACCTGAATTCCACTGGTCTAACAACAGCCTCCGCATCTGCCACTCCACACAAACCCCCCCTCCTGCCTATGAAACCATCATAAAAGCTTTCCCAGATTCCTGAGCTAGGTCCTTACTGCAAACACGCACGTGCATTTTAGGAAGAACCTCAATCATCTCAACAATTTTCTATGCGTGATGAAGATTTCTGAGAAGTCTACGGCTGCCGTTGCAGAGGGGACATACATTGCCAAGAGGCGGGTAGCAGCGATTTCTTAGAGCGCAATATCCCACTGCCCAAGGGATCACTTGTCTTTGCACTGCTGGCTCTAATTTACTGCTCTGCTATAAGCTTGCATATTTACAGTGTTGTATCTTTAATTGTATCTTGAATTGTAGCCATTGTATCTTTACTTTAGAGGAAAGAAAATGCTGCCACATAAAAACCAGATCATTTCTTGAAGAAACAGATCGTGTTAGGGCTTACTGATATACACATTTCTGCAAATTTCACTATTCTGTTTCTTTTTTAAAAAAAAAACAAATCGCGTTCTGGTTTTACGTATTTTCCCAAGGCTGTTAAATTTTCAGAGAACATCTCCCATTACTGAGCTCCTGCCTATAACCACAGAACATCTTCTGTCTGAGGAACCTTAGACACAGACCTTGTAGAGGATTTAACATCACAGTCCTGGCTGTGGTCATGGACATCCTGTTCTGCTGATTGTAAAGGATCTTAAAAGACTCCATGTTAGGGCTGCTTGTATAAAATTCCCCACAGTGTGGGAAAAATGTTGAAGTATATGAAGCTTCACACAGAGAGAAGTTTCCAACAACACACTAAATGCATGGTAACAATTACAAAGAATTTTCTGTCTGCAGTCAGCAGAACAGGTAGTCACCTTTTAATACCTAGTAAAGCTGTATGGGAGCAGAAGTCCTCATGTTTCATTGTTCTAGTTCTGGTTATCAAATAAGCAGCATGAATGGCAAGTATTTTTTTAATTAAGTTTTCTGTTTTGCTATGGGATTACTCATTTCCTTATTTTAAATTGTTTTTCTCAAATTGTACCAATTGTTTAATTCTTCCTGGCAAATTATTCACTGAAATCTTGTCTTTCACTAAAGCAAGATTTTAGACATCTATGGCTGAATACTGGGATTGTACAGTTAGTTGGAATATGAAGATAAAGATGGAATATTTAGTTGAGGTTAACATATATTCTTGACTCTTATATGTGTATCATGTCAAGCTAACCCCTGGCTTAGTAGAGACTAATTGCACTGACATGAGAGAATTCCAGTATTTGGAAATAGCACAGACAAATGGGGCCTGATTTAAGTCTTATTGTATCAGTTTCCTGTTAAATATTTCATGTTCAAATAAAGAGTAAAGCATTTCCGCAAGTAGAGGAGCAATCCTACTCCTCACTTACAAATAAGTCTGTTCCTAAAAGGGCTGGGCAATTACCAGCCGCAGGGCTGCTGATCCTGAGGGGGCTGGTCCTATGCTTCTGTAGAAAGAACAAGTCCTCATCTGTCTTCTGGGAGGGACAAAGATTCAGCAGCTTTTGAGAATGGGCAAAATGCTTAACATCTTACTTTCCAGGCTTTTGGAGACTGGCAGCGTGCATCCCTTTGCCGAGCTCAGCATCCCTCAGGAAGCACTGGTATTGATCTCTGAACTGCAATCTTCCAGCCCACTACCACCCTATTTGCAAATATTACCACAAACACTGAGCTTACAAGCGTTACTGTAAACCACAAGTATTCCTTATTGTAAAGGCAAATTCTTTTGCATGTATTTACTGACTGGCTTTCATTGCTTTATTCTTAGTGTGCAACATTTTCCCTTCTGGAGAGATATATGTCATTGCTAGAAGAACAACCATTTACAGAGTTTACAGAGCATTTCACTGCAGACACTATGGGTTCTAGTACACCGAGGACTTGCTGATAAGACTGCAAAACTACATTTGGCTGGTTGCAGGCTACGGACTTAAAACAATAGTCCTCTGGAGAAAGAAAGTTGTCTTATTTCATTCATTAATAATATTTTTTTCATTTAGAGTCTTATTGAGTCTGGTGAACTTCATTGCATGCACAAGTGCATTCACAGTGTCCTAGCTCTAGAATAGGTGATACCACCTATTGTAACGTGCCTACGAAAAGCAGAATTCAAGCCTGCTCGCTTTGCTTATTGAGTTTGGCGGACTGTCTGAAGAAACAACTTGGCCTACAGTGTGTACCCAGCTGGCCAAAACTGCTTGTTCCTTGAGAGTGAAATCGTTTTAGATGAGCAAATTTTTACTCCTGGATTGTAAATGCACATTACATTGCAGTAGAACTTTCCATAGCCTATTATTACTTGTATTACACTATATTTAGTAAACATTGTAGAAAGGGAAGATTAAATGTACTGTACTTTTTTCCTCCTGAAATCTGCACTGGATATCAAAACATTTTTTTATGTCCCCTGGATTAGGGAAATTAAAAACAGAGATTGTTTCGTGCATAAACAGTATGGCTGTCAGATACCTAACTAGTGGTTTAAACAATGTCTGAAATTAATGTTTTGCAAGCACTCTGGAAGCTTCAGAATGTGAAATAAAGTTGGATGTTATAATCTCGAGCTCATGTTTTTCCTTAAAGATAAACTTGTTGATGTCTATAAAAGATATTTTAAAGGGAAGTGTATCATCTTTAATTATGCAAGCTGATACAGTTGGAAGTGTAAATGAGACTCCTTCCTCTGCTCCTGTGGGGAGACACTCCAAAGCTGAAGATGCTGTATGAAGTCAGTGTCAGAATTTGCTATATGAGAACACCTTCCAAGGATTACAAGTGAGAACGTCTCTCACAAATAATAGTGCTTGCAGATTTTTAAATCCACTGGTTTCCAAGTACTTGGACTTCAATCCATGAAGTGTTTGACCAAATGCTTGCTTTAAGCAGATGGGCAATCACTATATGGTTCATGCTTAAATGGACTCATGCACATTTTATTGCATTACGACCAAAGCACATTGCACAGGATCAACCCACAAACTGAACTGCAAGATTCAGGAATCATTGGGTGTTTGATGTGCAAAAGATTATGCTTGCTCATTGTAACGGCCTTTTCTACCTTTTATTTCAATTTAAAATACTGGGAAGAAGAGATGATGCAGATCTCAAGATTTCAAAGCTTTCACAAGCAATGAATTAAGCTTCACAATAATTTTGCATGTAATACATTTTCACAGTCAGCAGCAGTGATTAAACAGTGCTCCCAGAATCACACAGGGAGTGATAGGCAGAGCTTTGATCAACCTCCAGATATCCTGACACCTTGTCCTGAAGGGAGCAGAGCTACTTCACCTTTTCCTAAAGAGAAACACTATTCTGTTATCGTCCATGTGCACAAAAACAATTGCTCCAGTTCTAGTTTCATATAGAAGACAAAACTTGACAGCTCTCTGTCTGAGAATAGTTATGTTCCAGCATATTTAGAAAAGTAGCTCATGCTGTTTTCCCT